TGATCTCTCTGTGTATTGTGGAAATATAGTAATATATCTATTAATAAGTATGTGTGTGTGGTGTTAGACATATTTACGAAACATTACACAGAATCATTCATGGGTATTATGTAACACAAGCGAATCAGTCACTAACAATTGGTAAACAACGTTTGATTGAAAGAAAGTGGTTCATAGTAGGGATCGACCATGTGTTCTTTATTATTTTGTATTGTTCTGCCAACCTACTATCAATAGACGCAATGCTCTGTTCTAACAGCGAATCATGGGTTTGCCCTGATGATATGACCCGCCCCTTGTTGACATGTTAGTAGCCTTCAGTCAGATAGATGGTGTGTGTGATAGGGGTGAGAGAAATTTGTACATATTGTTGTGTTTACATTTATTTGCTAGATTTTGAGACTTTGAGATATTTCTGAGACTAGCACTCTTAGATATCTGAGCTTCTACAAATTGCAATTTAAACTAGCCTCCTTATATACATTGTTTTTGTTCAAGAGATTCTTCATACACAGCTTATGACTCTTACACAAAGGGACCAAAGGATCACTGAAGAAAAAGCATAACTAAATAGCTCTCTCTCTCTTTTCTCTCAGGTTGACACACATACAAACACTTATCTAAGTGTCAATTTAAGTGTAACTTTGTTTGTGAATGAATATTGTGATTGTTTCAGTCTATTGCGTGTAAGACTCAGTCGTCCTTGTTATTACTGGATGCTCAACCTCTGGAGTTGTAATTGTCGTGTAGACTGTGAAACTCTTTAAAACAAATGTAACCTCACATTCATGTCTCTATGTGAAGTCTATTCCCACAATGTTCTCTTCAGTAGTCAAAAGTTTGATGGAACTTTGTGACCACTTGCTGTTCACACATATTCATCCTCTTTATTCATCATTGGGAACAATTTCCCATCTTTTATTAACAGATTGAGTGAAAGGGCGGTAAGGCTTCCATTGAATTAATCCATTGATTAACTAATGATTTTATTTTCATGAACGTCTTTTCTCAGTTATGCAGGTGGAATATTCTCAGCTCAACCTTGCTCTTTAAGTCCATTTAATTCCTGTTTTCTAGTGTCTGGATAGATCTTTGCTGTTTTGACTCACCATATCGTCACCTTAGTTTATTTAGCATCTCTTGATCCAAAACATTCTTGACTGCAATGCCTATGTTTTCTAAGTGGGGTTATATAAGCTCTACTATATTTTGTTTGTGTTTTATAACGTAATTAATAGTGGGTTTAACATATGTTTATGCTGTGTAGTCATTGTAATGAAACTAATAAACGATATACGTGCAAATATTGACAAATTAGTAATGGAATTTTATGTTTCTAGTGATGCTGTCTCATTAGTTTTCTAGACTTGATCGACCTTATTAAGACCATTCCTCACGTCTTTATTTTTCAGTCTATTTACCTGTTATAGTGTTTTATCACTCTTGCTGATTTAAAATATCATACCTTACGAAATTATTTGTGCTTCAGAATAAATTTTGATATAATTCCATGTTGAAGGAAACGACAAAATATTTGCCTTATCGGACTACAAGGAGATGGAAATTAAAGTGAAGTGAGAAAATTTTTCAGAGAAAACGATTTATGTTAAGTTTCCATGTTTTTCTCATGTTAAAGGAGAGAATGATATCAGATGTTTCTTGGCTCTTATAAATAGTGGCGATGCCAATAAAAATATATTTTTAAGTTTTATTTCTGAATTAAACCTTTTGAGAGGAAATTTACATTTTTAGATTTTTTATATAATGCTCATTGCGATTGTTCCCAATCTTTCAACATGTACATACTTATGGTAACATAAATACTCGGTGTTCTTTATAGTATCAAATACGCTGATCGGTAAATTACGATTATATTTTTATTTATTGTTACTTTCTTAAAATTTCCCAATATGAGCTGGCATAGTTATAATATCACTGAAACGAAACGCTTTATAAACACAAACCGTCAGTTTCACAAACTACATCCTCTCCTCTTGGGTTGTACTTTCTATCTGTTGTTTTTCTCATTTATCACATTTTATGAATAACTGGAAATGCTTACACTAAATGGAATGTTACTTAACAGGAGATAGAATAGAATAGAAAAACATGAAATGTCTTCTACAACGAATACTTAGATGTCTTTACTTTCCTAAATCACATCATACCTGCTTATTTACAGGTACCTTTACTTTTCTAAACTACATGATATACTTACTATAAGATATCTGTTTAATATCGTATGGTATTATTACTTTCCCGAACTACTTAGTATCATATGAAACCTTTATCTTCCTGAATGAACATACTCTTCAGCAGTAAAACATTCAACTGAAAAATACCAAGTAATATTAAAAAATATTACTTCATCATCAGAAAAGAACAATTATTATAAACCTTATTTTAATCTTGGATTATAGATTTATCTCCATCTAAACTTTGTTTACTTATGAGGCATTATTTAAGAGACGAGATGTGGCTTATTTCAAATCCTCTAAAATATATTTAAAATATTTATGAAGGACATATGAGTAACTTGCAAACAGTTGATTTTGTATCTCATGGCTTCATTTAATTTGCTCTCTCGTGGCTTCATTTACTTTGCTCTCTCATGATTCAGAGATAAGAACTGAGGGCTTATAACCCTAAAACTCGGGTTTGATATCTGCATTGAGCAGAATACAAATATCCCATTGCGTAGCTTTGTGTTTTCCAAAAAACAAACAAACAAATTTATTGAATATCTTTGTTAAGTTTATCATATTCAAACACCAATACAAATATATAAATGAGCTTATCATTTATTAGAAACTTGTATTCATTGTTAATCACAAAGATACATAATGTGCTATTTGTGCTGTGTCCATCACTGGTATAGAAACCTGGATTTTGGTGTTGTAAGCACGTAGACTTATCACTGAACCAGTAGGGTTTATTGGGAAAAAACTATTAAATATAAATTGATTCTAGCCAAGAATACTGTTAGCAAAAACATTGTTACATAATCTGACCTGACGCCATTTTTAATAGTAAGGTGTTAGGTCACTGATGAATTTTTATCAGCTTATATGGAGTTTATATTCAAAAAAATTATAGTTGCTATGCTAGGCGCTCATCACGCGACAAACTCCTTCTGGACCATTATTCTCAATCTGTGGTCTGTAAATTACTGGTTTTTCTGAGGATCCTTTCAGATGGTTCATGTAAATGTTTCGTAATTATGAAATATTTTGTTGTTTTCTTTTAGGCAAAAAGCTACATCATAGGATGTCTGTGCCATACCCACACGGTTGTCGAAACCTAATTTTTAGCGTCATAAGCCATCATACTTATCCCTGAACAACTGAGGGGGGGGTATTGCTAAAGAAAGCCGCAGTATTCTGCATAGATCCCATTGTGGTTCACCGAGATAAAAGAAAATCAGGTGTTTCGCGAATAAACAAATTTGAGATCCAGTGTTCTAGATTATATAACATTAAACTAAACGTCTAAAATAAGAAAACCATAATCTACAATCTGTGCTTGTTTTTATGGGATAACATGCACTTAACTTTAACGTACTAGGTGCACCAGATGCTTAACAATTTTATGCTAAATAAGTAAACCCACAAGTGTTTTACTGTATGTGAGCTGAAGTGAGGTTATAAAACGCCTCACTTTTATTTCGACTAAGCTGTTCTAATAGAACCATCAGCAAAGTTATCTTCATGAGAGACGGCTGATATACTGTTCTCGCATATACATTTGTACCTGTAAAATAAACTTTATAGTGTTTAATACACATAGTGTTCCTCGGATGTAGTAGGCAACTTTTTGAATTTAATTCTTTAATGTCTAGAGGTTTCTTTCTTAGAGAAAATTTTTGGCATTCAAAATTATGACACTTAGCCTCACGGTTTTAAACTATTGTTACTCCTCGCAAGGAAAACTCGTGGGAACTCACACTCGGTTGTCTAGATTGATAGGTTTGAGCTTACCTAGTATGGTGTTATCTTGGTTTTAAAACTCCTCTGCTAAAGGAACGGAAGGGGAAAACTGCAAATAGAAAAACATATATCACGAACACAAAGATCGAGTGGTTGATTATTATCAATGGGTAAAGTCATTGTGCTAATTTCTGTTCAGGTCTAATGAAAAGTACAGAACCAGAGTTCATAATCGCACACAACACAAACTAAGCTCTATATCAGGATCGGACCCTCCAGTGATGGCTTGGCCCGCTGTAGCCCTTCTCACCCTTCCAGTTACTGGGATGAGACGGGATACCATCCCATTTCTTTTTAGGAGGGCCCAAAACCATCCCGTTACCTTGTAGTAGACTTGAAACTGCCCCGATATTTTTAAAGTTGTGTAGAACTACGCCAAATATGTGCGGGAAGATATGACACAAAGCGACAATTAAACAAATTTAGTTTATAAAACCATAAAAAAATTCAGAATGGTTATTTCAGGCTGATAATTTTCCAGCCTAATCTAAAATTATACACCAATTAGGTTCCTTTTTCCTTTCTTTTTCAAATTCAAGGATTTCACAAACTATCCCATCAATTTTGTTTTTCAGTTTCAAAACTTTCACCAACCATCCGCCTTCTTTTTGTCCCCCACTTCATTGGTTATGGAAGTATTAAATTAGCAGTTTTATCAACTGCGAATATATCAACTGCGAATATATTAATATATATTATTAACTCGTAACTAACATATTAAGTTATGGTGACGGTTAATTTAATGAAATAATATATTTTAAACTAAAATGCTTCTCATTTTAATTCAATCGCTTTATTTGTCTTTTGTACTATTCTCTCTCTGTCAAAACAAAAACGAATAACGTCGAAATTTTTAGCGCCCTCTTTCACAGAGCGTTTTTGTGTGATTTTTTTATTGAGAAGTCACATAGTTGTCCAATCATAGAAAGCCAACACAGACATGTGCATTGTTGACTTGCTAAAGTCTGATTGGTGGAATATTCAGCGTGTGTAAACGTCATTGGCTGTTTGTGTTTTAATATAACCTTCTTTCAGACGTTGTTTAATTCACCGATTGAAGAGAACGGGGAGTTGCAGGATTCTTTTTGCCTTAATTTTGTTGATTACGAATATACTAATTTAAGCAATTTGAAAATTAAACATGAAGTGGTTCCTTTTCTTTGTAGGGCTACTTTTAATATCAGGTAAGATTATTTGTTTAATTGAGAAAACTGTGAATGTAGTAAAACTTTGATACTGTCACATTTTTACTTTAGTTTTACTTTCACTTTGAGTGTTTCACTTATTTACGTATTTTGCCGGTACGATTCACACTAAAGAAAAGTTCCTTTTTGTGTTCTACCACCTGATAAATTTTCAAATTCCAACTTGCTGTGTTTAAAGACTTGCGGTTAAAAGGTATATATTAATTAAAATACAAAACACTTGTGTGTGTGTGTACAAACACTGTAGTACTAGTAGCACAATCTATGAAGTATAGTCTTTAAAGTTCAGATAACCATCAAAACAGTTATATGAAGTTATATAAACGTAAGTAGTTTGTTTTACACGTATCCTCCACTTAAAGTTTGTAATTTTATAGTTAGTTTTACTAAAAGTTTTAGCTTCATAGACCTTATTGTTCATACCACTTGCAAGCCTCAGATTAATCACGTTTTAACAATCTTGTTCCTAAAAAAAGTACAAGGCTAAATACTCATTCGCGCAGTTTGTCTTTATTATATTAACAATTTAAAATAAAGGATTAAGCATGATCCTTTTTATTTATTTCATTTTAAGTTAGTTATTAATTTTAATACATTGCTTATTTTTCCATATGACTTTTGTCTTTCTGGTTTTAATGTTCTAGAATACTAAACTTGATTATAGCAATAATTTTTTTTCGCCTTGCCAGATTAAGTTAAAACAAGTTATCAAAGAAATTTCCAACAAATGATCTCTTCAAGTATACTATGAAAAAAGTAAAGTTAATATTCTATTATATTTTAAAGAAATTGATTCTGCTATTGATTTCATGTAAATTTGTTGATTTTTCTAACTGCTGATAGCAAACTAGACAATTTTTAAACTAGAACCTACCCTGTCTTTCCCAAATCTTAAACTTTTGTACTCATTATGTTCTCTACAAATACAGCACAGAGGGCGTTATCCTATCAATTTTTAATAAACTTCAATAAGCTCACCCATTTACTTTTCCTTTCTGAAGAGGAAATTAGAGATCTTAAACTACCATCTTAAGATGACCTGTCCTAGTGACCCTTTGCTAACTCCTTTCCAACAAGTTATTTTTTTGGGGGGTGGGGGGTATAATGATATAACAAATGCACACAATATTCAAAAGTGAGGTGTGATTTGTATAGAGAAAATTACCTATTCTTGCATGTAATCAATGTGTAAGCACACCCTAAAATGCTATCATTAGCTTTACTACTACCAAAAGAGCATTGCTTTAATGGCTTTAGAATTGCATCCATTACTGTGCCATGCTGTTAAGATGCCTATTATTAAATAAACATGTGATTAATTTGATTTCCCAAATATTTATCTAACTTATCAATTGATCATTCACCTCAATATCCTCAACACAGCTAGAAATACCTAAGAAGTTAATACTTTACAACTTGCCCCCCCCAATAGATATCATTGATAAAACACTCCACTTGTAACAGTTTCAGGTTGATTCCATTGATAACTTTTTAATCTTCCCATTGGACCACCTATATTACCTATGTAATTAGTCTTTCAGCATTCCCTACTGGTTTGATTTTCCAAGGTAACCAAGTGCATACCCCCCTTTATTTATCCAGATAAGTAACATCCTTCAAAAGATAGTATTAAGGCATAATGTTTCTTTTGTTATTCTTCACTGAATGGCTTTGTGAAACTTTATCAGACCTTCTAGAGTTTTTCCCAGTACAAATGCAACATTAACTCTCTACAATGTTCCCTTATTTCAACTAGAGCTGTGCCATTTAATTGATTACCTATGAGCAGCAGTTACTTCAGTTTGTCTCGTATACTAACAGATTAATAAAATGTAATTAATGAGTCCTTCGATAAATTGATTTACTATTAATTGCTCAGCTCCAATTTCAACTCTTACAATCACATTCTTATTAATGGTTATATTAAAAAAGAAAAATCTAAAATAGCTCAACCTTACTACTTAACTGTACACAAACCTTATCAATGTGTAAAATTATACTTCTGTGATTACTGCATTGCATCAGTATTTGTTTTTTAACAACCCTGACCTTGTACAATATTTCATTTGTTTAATCAGGTGGTCTACAACAATTTCTCCTCTTCAAACCCAAGACTGTAACTTGTATACAATACTCCACCCTGAATTTGCTGTACCTCCCCATCTCTTCAAGTTTATCAATATTGAATAATTTGTAATATAGAGTTCCAAAATGACTTATCAATGTTCTCCAAATCTAAGTTTTAGTAATTACTATTGCATTCGTCTTCTATTTCATTTTTGAATTATTCCTCATGTTGAATAATAACTAACAGTAATCTTGAATCTATAATGTTTACCTTTTGAATCTGAGGAGCATGTTTTAAAACTTAGTTTATGCCAGAAATAAAGTATTTTCAAAATTTTCATTTCTCTCTATCCTTTCAATTCCCAATTTCCCTCACAACAATGCAAATTTAAAACATCTTTAAATAAGCAGTATCTTGAAATTGAGTTTTGATTTGTTTTATTCCTCCCATCTTCTAATTATTGAAGGAATATACTTGGTATAATCTCTGGCAAGCTCTGATAAGAGTGTGCAGTATTGTGGTGTTTTCAATTTAAACAGTAGCAATAACAAGTCCAAAACATTTATGCTTCTTACTTACAACTTTCATGTGTATCATAAGCACACATGAACAGATACTTAAATGCACATGTGCATCCTCAGCAATGGATGTACTACAACTGAAGTTATGTTAGAGGAAAATAAGACCATGACCCCCCCCCCCCTCAAGTTTTGAAGAAATATAAAGCATTTATTGAATTAACGCCTATATTTTCATTGTTGTTGCCATAATTCTTAAACTACATTTTGTAACAAAATACCTAAACATTTTCTTGTAGTGCAAGTTATGGTTGTTTTATCTATACAACTTTTCTATGCTACAATGAAACGGCCAAGAGGAGCCGAGTCTTATAGTGTTTAACAACTAATTCAAGGCTGGCAGCATACCTAAAGGACCCAGTCAGAATCTAGATTTTAAAAACAATCAATGAAAATAATTTAACTTTGCAGCCATGGGGAGCACACAAGGCTTTCAAGGCTGCAGTTTTCAAGGGCTGATACAAGTTTAATGGTTCTGTGATTAGATTTAAGGATAAAAACAGTTAAAAAGGCATTTCTTTGATGTACAGTGACTTGGTTAAGAAGTGACAGTTTTTCTTGCTTGAGAGGTTTTCTTAGTTTTATGGTTCAAATAATAGTTTAGACATTGTCTGGTATGATATTACAACCCATGTGGTTGCAGCTCGGAAAGAGTGTCTAAAATTCATATAAATTGACTTATCTGTCTTGCTGTTCTCGTTTTGAGAGTAGTAAAAATATTACCAGCCTTCTCATTAACTGCAAGCTGCCACTGTTCTTATACTAATTTTTTTAAATTTTTAATAGGACTTTGCTTGGCTGATGATACCACAACAGAAGAAGAAGCAGAGATTAAGGTTGATCAAGATATAGGGAGTAGTCGAGAAGGTTCAAGAACTGATGATGAAGTGGTGCAAAGGTTTGAAATGAATTTTCTTTTGGTTGTCTTTACTGGTATCATTAAACTAACTTATTAGAAATGCCCATAAACAGTTTTGATTTGATATTCAAAAGTTTTGTATTCTGTATCCTTTATATATAATCTATTTAAAATAAGGCACTATCTTCATTTACATGAAATCTAATGTGTGAAAACCATGAAATGGCTATAGTTCTGTGGAGTAGTTTTTAAAATTTGGTTAAACCTAATGTTAACAGTATGTGTAGCTATCTTACACTAAGGCTTTTATTCATTTGTAGTATAATTTACATGAGACTCAATATTTTACAATATTCAGATAACTATCACAAGTGCATTGGTAACAATTCTGATTCAGAAATTGAAATTCACATTTAAAATGTGGGCTGTCAAACTTTTTCTTGGTATAAAAGATGTTGAATTAGGATTTTCTTCTGGTTACTAAATTTATAAGAATTTATTTTACTCTGTAGTGGTCCCTGCCAAATATTTGTTTATATTCTATGTTAATCACAACAAATATTGCTATAAGTTATTAACTTAGTGTATTCCTTGTTTGTGTCAGGAAGAAGGTAAAGTTTGCAAAAAATAATTAAGCACTTGTTATTGTTTACATGATAAACTACTGTTGTTGTTTTTTGTTCTTATCTCATTGCTGGCCTTAGTTCAGAAGGCTTTATTTCTGCCTCTTGCTGTATTTGATCTTCCCACCAGATCCTGCTGAAATTTGGGACTGAAAAGCCTCGTAACCATATTGCTCATAGATTTGCTTGTATCATTGTGAAACATTCTTATGTTCAGTTTATACAAAGTTTCATAAAGTTTTTTTTTTTTTTCCTCATTTTGTGACATCAACAAAACTGTATACAGGTTACTAATTAAGAGAAGTATGGCATTCAGCAGTATTTGCCAATTTCTTGATGTGACCTCTCAAGACTTGTATTACACATGACTAAGCACATTTAGTTGTAAACTCTGAACCTTAATGACAAAACTGGAAATGTGCAGCTTTTTTAAATTTTAAGGCATTAAAAAGCTAATGTTTGGAATCTTCTCAAACAGCAAGTATGCTGTCTAAATTTTATTTAAGAAGGTCTCTGCGAAATCTTAGTTTTCGTTCACTGATTTTTAGTCTCAAGTCCAAGAATAATTTGAAATCCACTTATTAATCAAACTTGCAACATTGCAAATTGTTATCACACTATGTAGTGATACATGCCTGTCATAATTCTGAGAAGCTCAAGGCTCTGCATTCAAATTCAGATTTCATCCCTCCTATAAAAGTTGAAAAAGTAGACAGTCTTGAATAAAGGTCAGCAATAATATATAATTATTGATATTTAAAAATAGAATTTGCATTTTATTTCTTGGTTGGATCTTAAAGCTTTAGGTAATTAAAAAAAAAATCTGAATTGATAGTTATAGAGCTGTCATTCCTAGTATCACTGAGTCTAATGAAATGAAGGTAAGTAAGTTGTTAAATGGCTTAAAACATCAATATCTGCAGTTTAGGTGTAGAAAGGTGCAATGCCAAAAAGCCCAGTAAGACAATCTTGTAGATGTACATTGAACAAAATTATTGAATTAACTTTAGTTTTGTTAACACATTCATTTCAACACTCCACTTTTCTCTATATGTATAATGGTTTATGGACCTTGGTTATCTAGACATATTATCCAAGAATTATCTATCACTGAAACTTTATTTTTATGATGATAAATAGAAGCATTACTCAGTCAAAAGTGCAAAAAAATTCTTCAAATAGTTTTCTCAAATGCTGTAAGTGAATATTTTGTTCAAAGAGCTACTATAGTTGTTGGTGTAAAAGACTACTTTTTACTCTTCAAACAATGCCCAATTTTTACCCCTCATTTTATACATGGGTTCAAGGAGTTCCAGTAAGAACTCTTCAGTTAATAGTATATTTAACCAAAACTGTTTCTTTTACTCTTGTTTGCCTTCTTGAGTAAGTGCATTAACATCATGCCACGTACTGTCTCACTAACATTGTATCATTTTCCTTGATTCTTCGTAACTAGGAGTTGTCTCGCATGCTTGTTACGATTAGTCAAAATATTTTTGATTTGAAATGTATTGATCTCATCTGTCATACTAAAATAATGCTAATATTTCTGTAATGTACACTAATTTTGTAAACATGTTTTTATAGTAGATCACTATCTTAAGGTTTAGTTATATTTTGTAATAGAAAAGGTGTTCAAACGTAAGCTGTTTGTGACTTAAATTATGCAACATAGCATTTAATATCAAAACAAACTTTTGGTTGTTTTAATTACCGAAGAGCACAGGTTAGCACAGTTTATAAATAACTTCTAGGAATTTTATTTTACAAAAGTAACATCCTAGACTTGCTTGACAATAGAAGTTGTTTTATACACCAAACCTCGAAGAAATATACATGAATTGCTCCAAAAATCCAGGGTCGTCTTAGACACTGGGAAATGCAGTAATTTGCTCCCAAACTATATTTTGGATAAAAGTAAAGCAAATTAGAATGAAAATAGGTGGAAAAGTAAAAACATTGTGATTTGTCATATGTTAATCATTACAAACTGTTAGATTTAAATTGCCTCACCTCCTTAATACTTAACTAATTAGGGAAGCATTGTATTGCTAAAATGATTAGTTTTTGTCTTTATTATACCTGGGGACCAAAATTAGCTTCACTCAATGTACTAATTAGGGAAGCATTGTATTGCTAAAATGATTAGTTTTTGTCTTTATACCTGGGGACCAAAATTAACTTCACTCAATGTTCTTATCCCTGTTTTACACCTCTTCAATCTGACATTTACAGATGTGGAATTTCTTTTTTTATCAAAAGTAGAACTAGTCCTCTGTATTCTTAGAAAATTTGTATTGATTTACCAGGTATGTATCCTTAACGAATGAACTATTGAAATTGCAGTTGACTTGTTTGAATTATACAGTTGCCCAGTCGTGCTTTCCCATCATAAATCAAGAGGTTAAGATCTAAACTTCTAAAACCCATAATTTGAAATCTAAATTTATACCCAATTTGGTATTTGGTGTACTATTGCTACACAATTTCCTTGCAGATCTAATTTCACACCTTGTATATAAACTTAAACATTAGGATGAACTCCATACTTTATATCGGCACAGAAAAAATGAATAAATAAATTGAACCATTTGTTATGTTAACATTTGGTAAGGTAATACTTGTGTTTGAGCAACAATTTAGTTAGTAACTTACTAATGTCAATTTTTTTTTTTTCTTTCTCCAGGGAAGAAGAAGCCATTAAGTTAGATGGCTTAAATGTTGCTCAGGTGAAAGAATTGAGAGAAAAAGCTGAAAAGTTTGTGTTTCAGGCCGAAGTGAATAGAATGATGAAATTGATCATAAATTCATTATATAGAAATAAAGAGGTAAGCTTTTACTTTGCTTAACTATACCTGAGGCTGAAAAACTATTTACTTTTTAACTCCTGACAATGAATAAAAGTATAGAACAAACTGATATGGGTGTTTTTAAGTTTCAAAATGTTATTTATTTTAGAGTAAAAAAAAAATCTTAAATGTATTTCTAGTTACAGGAGTGTGGTAATTAATTTATTGATGCATATGGACCACATACTAAAGCAGTTTAGTGCAAGAGGTACCCAAAGAGTGAAATTTAGAAATAATTTGTCTAATCTTTAGCTGCAATACAGGTTACCCTTGAGCACACAGTAACTGAGTTTAATATTACTTCTCAGCCTACAATTTTTTTTTTTCACTTCAATTTGTAAAGATTTCTTCCTGCATATGTAGATAAAATACTTTATGTAATTACACTTAGTAAAGGATAACTTTCTTGTGATAAATTAGGGGTAAGCATTACTTTGAAACTCGTGCATGCTAAGTGAAACTATCAGGTAACATCTACTGGGTGTAAGAAAGGTAAATCTGCTCTTGTGGAAACATTTAAGTATATGTACATTTTAGTCTTAAATTTTTTTTTTAAACCAGATCTGAAACATATAAATTGTTTCATTTACAATCCACTAAAAAATGTCAAGTTTTGTTTTGCTTGGTACAGTAGATGTTAAGCTAGTGTAAGATCATAAGTTTACTTGAATTGTAAATTAATTTAATTAATGTAGTATTCAAGATTCATCTCTTGTGGTATAAATATGAAGCTGTTTTTAGCTACTATAACTTGGTAAAATAAACTGTTTATCAATTAATATTGTTTGTTTATTTGACTCCCCTACTTTCTTACATTTTCAGATTTTCTTGAGAGAGTTGATTTCTAATGCTTCGGATGCTCTTGACAAAATAAGATTGCTTTCTCTCACAGAAAATGAGGCATTAAGTGCAACAGAAGAATTGTCTATCAAAATAAAGGTATGTTGATGGTGCTTAAATCTAAACATGTCTAACTTCATAAATTGCTCTTTCTTAGTTTATAAGAGACTTAATGGCGCAGTGGAAAATCTCAAGATGTAATACTTAAAACCAAGTTTTTGATATCCATAGTGAGCACAGCACAGATAGCAAAGTGTGTAGTTTTGTACTTAACAAGAGGCAATGGTTAGATTAGTTCATATTTAGCATTTTCTATGTACAAGTGTATCTTCCTTTGGAACCATGACCTTTTTACAGGAAAATTTATACAACTATACCATAAATCTTAAATTAATTTACATATTTTGGTTTGAAGAACCTACTTTGATTTCCGTTTTTATAAATTTTATTTCTATTAAGATTTTTGATTTTATAAGATAATTTAACGTAGGAACTGAGACAGTACTTCACTTTATATTTAGTTATTTAGGCTTTATCTTGGCTATAAATACTCAAAATATTGAGTTTAAAAAAAAAAACATTTGTTTTTTAAATCTTAGTTCAAAAATGATCATAAAGGTTTCTTATGCAGCAATAATAATGTTATTCTGTTATTACTGGTTTCTTTACAATTTTTAGTAATGTTAAAATATCAGAAAACTTGTACATTGCCATACAGTTGTAAACTGTGTGACCGACATACAAGATACATTTTAGATTTACTTGTACTTTCTAATTGTCAATGAACCAATCACAAATACTGTAAATAGAAAAAAGTGAGCAGGCATTCCATCCATCTTTAAATAAAAACTACAAAAATTTATTAAATCAACAAGAAACACTAGGTGTTTTAACTTTGCACTTATGACTTGAAAAATAATTCCCACAGCACTAATCTTATATACAGACTGTTTTCAGTTAATACCCAAAATTTACTCAAAGTCTGTAGCAAAATATACATGAAAGTTGTTTACCTGGCCAATCAGATCATTCATTTCTACTGTATTCTCCACTTCACCGACTTTCTGAAGAAATTCAGACGTTCCAGATTTTGCAATAGTTCCCAAGTTATTCACAAGGTCTTCATGAGTCATTCCAATCCCAGTGTCAGTCACATGCAAGACATTATTTTCCTTATCACTCTGATGGGAAGAAATTGTAGGAGAAAGGATACATTTTAAACAAAACTTTAATACTGCAATTCAATACTCCCACTTTTACCCTTTTTGGGTTCTAATTCATAATAGCTAAATCTTGTACATAACACCAACTGAACAACTATACATAATTAGAAAAATAAAGCATTACATATTAGGATGAATGTAAAAATTCCTTTCAACATCAACAGTCTTAACTTTTTAATGTGTTAATATGAAAGTAAGCTTTTGTTTCTTTATTTTGGTTACGTTACTCAAATTGTTTTGGGAAGTTTCAAGTCATGCAGATTTGTTAAAGTCATTAAAAAAAAAAACATGGGGCATATTTGGGGGTGGGGGTATTGGTTATTGGAAAGCACTAAACCATTTCCTTTTGGGAAGAGTAATATCTAGAAGCAATGCATCTACCTATATTTTTAGCATGCTATTATAACACTCTAGAAATTAAAATTAAGGAATTTCTATTTTATAGTTGAATGTATACTTCGTTTATTACTTGCCGCAAATATAATTACTAGAGCTTCTACTTTTGTAAGTTTTATACAACTGTTTTTCAGTATAACAAATACTTACATTCATGTGTAAATATGTCAAATTATGTAGCTATTTTAAGCATTGTACTACAGCAAGCTAAATTTTTCTTTTCAGTTTGGTGTTGGTTTCTATTCGGCCTTCCTTGTGGCAGATAGAGTTGTGGTGACATCCAAACATAATGACGACAAGCAGTACATTTGGGAATCTGATTCTGGATCATTTTCAATTGTTGAAGACCCACGAGGAGACACCCTGAAAAGAGGCACCACAGTCAGTCTCTACCTAAAGGAAGAAGCTAGAGATTTCCTAGAAGAAGATACCTTGAAACAACTGATTAAGAAATACAGTCAGTTCATAAATTTCAACATATATTTATGGACTAGTAAGGTAAATCAGATTTCCATGAATTATTTTTGCACATCATGCATCATAATCCTTTGCACAACCTGTTATTTCTCATGAAACGAAACTTGTCCCAAAAAATCATTTGCTACTGTGCGACATATATATTGAATAATTAGTTATTTAACATTGTAATGTTTTCAGAAAATTTTGTTTCAACTTTGTTATTAAATCTATAATAACAAAGCAAAGAAATATTTGTGATATAGAATATGCAAATACTAAGCTTTTTGAGTAAAGATATTAATATCATATGAAAAGACTTGAATTGGTCCGAAGTATAAGGTGAATGTTGAATTTTATATACATCCAATTACATGGAACATTGTAATCGTACATCAAGGCTTTCATTTTTAATTGGATTTATTCCTAAAACATTTTTTTTTATCAGTGTTTTTTGAAATTCCAGTCCCTGCATTTAACAATGAATTGTATGGGTTTTGTTAAATTCGATATTAGGCTGGTACTAATGTGTTAAAATCCATGTATTAGGTCATCAAAAAATTAATGTCTCATTTTTGAACACTTTCATTAACCACCCCCCAAAAAAAACCCTGCATTGTGTATAATATTTAAATGAACCCCCTAAATGTCATGTTGGTGTAGCCTATATAATGTGTAAACTTTAGTGCCTTATAGTGATGGCACCCTATGAGACAAGCATATGGCATGTAATGCTGGTTGAATGCAAAAAGGGAAGCGATGCTTTTGTAGCCACAAATAATATCAAAAGTTTATAATGCTTTGAACATTTGTTAGTGTTGACTATGGTTCAGCAAATTTCGTTCAGGTGACTTTAGCCTTAAAGACTGTGATGGCAGGGGCTGACATGTTTCAATTGATGTAGTGAAGACTCTTGTTGATTCTAACCCAATGCAACACACTCATGAAATGGCCCTGAAATTTCATGTTTCTCATGAAACAATACTTAAACATCTGAGTAATATGGTAAACTCCATAAAGGTGTTTGGGTGCCTCACGAACTCTCCAATGATCATTGTTTCCAATGTGTGAAGGTTGCTTCATCTCTTCTGGCACGTAATGCGCATAAACCATTTTTGGACAGAATTGTCACCGGTGATGATGATAATAATAATAAATAAAATATAAAAAAACAATGGCTCGATCCTAGACAAACCACTTCTGACCCCCAAAACCTGGACTCCATCCACAGAAAGTGATGCTTTGCATTTGATGGGACATAGGTGTAATTCATTTTGAAATCCTCAATCCACAGTAAACCTGTCAGTGGAGAGATCTATAGTCAGCAAATGGAACGTTTAAATCAAGACTTTCATCAGAAATGTCCTTCCCTCATCAATCGGAAAGGTGTTCTTCTTCTTGACGACATTGCATGTCCACATGTGGCACGTTTGACACAACACAAGATTATGGAGTTGGGGCTGGGAAGTTCTCCCCCACCCACC